GTTTATATATATATATATATATATAAGTCTTTAAGTTCTGAACTGGAGTACATACAATAGTACAATAAGTTAGAATGAGACAGCTGTAGTTTGTCTCACTCTAACTTATTGCACTATTTCAGAATTCTTCGAAAAAGAATAAACCTTACGTATATATAGCGCTGCAGCGAGTCGGAATGACAGATATCTTAATCTCTAAAATCTCGAACTTAACACTTAATATCTCGGTTTACGAGACCGATCGCCGCATTTTTTGCCAAATTCTTACATTTTACGCAAGAACGCGTCGAACGAACCGAATTTCATTGAAATCGAAAATAATATTTTAATTCAGCAAGTTGTGTTAACAAATACAATCAAGTGTAGCAAATGTGGTAATGATATTAACATAAATAAAGGAACATGTATCGATGTAGAAAGCGGTACTGTGTAAAAAATATACATAAATATCCATATTTAGTCTTTTGTGCTGGTATTTGGTTCCTCATTTTTGGTCACTACTGGCTGGTCGTTAAACGCTGACATCGGAGGATACAGTTTCGCAATGATGTCGAAGAAGATCTCGATCCACTCAGCGTAATCATAGGCGCGTTTAAAGAGAAATTCGGCCAAATATCCTTAAAATGATATTCTCTCCTTCCATATCTAGGAATATTTCCCCGAACTTCTCTCCAAACGTGCTCTATATGTTGAGTGTGTGCACCTGTAAATTTAAAAACTGTTACGACATAAATTATTGCAAAATATGAATATTATCTATAATAAAACAATGAGTAAAATATATAAATTATGACATTGTACAACCTAGTTTATTGTAATAAATATTAATAATTTTAAACATTTCTTACCAATTTCAGGATCGATAAAGTTGTAAGAATGGTTTACTGTCAGATGTTGGAAGCCCTCATTGTTTAAACAATCATAGGACTTCCAACAATCCGATACAATAGTTGTTCTTGGCAATATCCATTCTTTAATTACTGCCAAGAGTCTCGTTTCCGTTCGATCTTCAACTGGTACAATAAACATCTTCTTCGACCCTTACTCATATCCCCTGAAGATTCATTGACCTTTTATAAGTCGATTATATTTTCGTTTTCCAATTTTTGCTTCATCAATTTGAACTGTGTGTCCTGGACCACCAATCTTTTCACTATGTTTTTCAGTCCAGAACACATAGACCTGTAATAAAAAATAACATTAGTTTTGTACATTACTATATATTTTTTACATTTACAATAATTCTGAAAATATAAGTAACATAATTACCTCTCGGCAGAAGTTGAACCAATCAACAATTGGAGGTGATACCGATTGATCACGGCTCGATTAGACATCATCAATCACGGCGACCGGTGCTTAGGAGCTTTGTAGTCTCAAGCGCTGTGAGTGGCTCGTGTCCAATTGAGCCGTGTCTACTGGGTGCCACCCAACAATTGTAGCCGACGACGCAATGCCAGCTTCAATTTGCGTACGATCTTGACGTGGGTGTTGTAACATTAAAAAACACGCAACAATTCTGCATATTGCCCCCACGTCAAGATGACTTTTATGGAACCAAGTATTAGTTTTGCCGCTTTTGAAAAACTCGCAACGTTTTGTAATTTGTTTTTTATGTTTATTCTTTACATAGTACCGTTTTCTCTACATCGGTACATTATTGTTTCTTTATTTATGTAAATATCATCACCACATTCGCTACACTTGATTTTTGCTACTAACACACCGTGGTGGATTAAAAAATCAATTAATTTCTCTCTGTCGAATGTCAAATGTCCGAATTCGAGCAGGCCTAGCATTATTGCTGTACGATTTCGCGTTTGTCAAACGTTGCATCGTATTTGTTCTACAGTGATTTTAAATTTCGTGTTCTGTATGCACCAGAGAGTAGCTAAACGCATGCGTATGAGGTCATAGAACATGAAAAAAGTAACCGCAATGCATGCTTGCATCGGGTGGCACCCAGTTGGACACGGCTCAATTGGACACGAGCCACTCACAGCGCTTGAGACTACAAAGCTCCTAAGCACCGGTCGATGTGATTGATGGTGTCCAATCGAGCCGTGATCAATCGGGATCACCCCCTTGCATCGCAGTATTTCGCGCAGTGACAGATTTCCTAACCTCTACAATCTCGAACTTTAACGCTTCATATCTCGGCTCACAGGGCAGACCTTTACGGAAAAAACTCTTAAAATTTGAGTGTTTACACTTTAAAAAACACTGAAAAAATACACTCAAGGTAACACTCAATTAATGATTATTTTGGACGCTCAACCTGAGTATAACTCTCAACTTGAGTGTTATTGATAACTTGGATGTTGAGTGTCAATCTCAACTTGATAGTTAACTTTAGTATCAGGGTGAAATCACACGGTGCGGAAAATGATTGCGAAACAAAGAATGCGTCATTCAGCGGACTCAACAGTTGAGTGAGTACTCGCTGTTATTGGTATATTCTTCTAGATCTAAAATTCTGATTGGATGAGCTAAAAAAATACACTAATAACAGCGAGCATGGCACTCGCACTCAACTGTTGAGTCCGCTGAATGCGCCCATTGAAACAATTAGCGCTATTCGGAATAACGCAGAATAAAGCTGATTGGTTGCTTTTGTGACATATTTTCTTTTCCACACCGTGTGATTTCACCCTTAGCTTCTACGTACAATGGAGGAAGTATTATTATAGAGGAATAGAAATAAATATTAAAATTCAACTTATCAAAAATGTATTCCGGTATCTGGTTATATAACTGGTATCTGATAAGCTGAAATCTTAATATTGAGTCCTATTAAACTATTATTATTGAACTATTATTGAGT